TATAGATAGCATGTGAGAAGAAATTTCAGATAGACCAACATGTGAGAACTGCTTCACACATTGCAAAAAAAGGAAAAATAGGAGGAAAACATCAAACTTCAATGGCTAAATGTTTCCAATCTACTTCAAAAAAATTAGATGAGCAAGAAACTTTTAATGAAGACTTGTGTCGCGCATTAGTGTCTGCAACCATACCGCTTTCAAAATTAGCAAATGTAAATGTTAGTTCGTTTCTAAAAAAATATTGCAAACTTAATGTTCCAAGTGATCGGTCTCTAAGAAGAAATAATGGGAACGTGCTATACTCGTCGGTGTTAATTAATATTAAGGAAGAAATTGCAGATAATTATTTTTACATATCTGTAGACGAAACCACTGATTCCTCAGGAAAGTATATTGCTCATTTATTGATTGGTGTTCTTAAAGAAGATACCTTACCAAAATCTCATCTTATTTCATGCCAGCAACTTGAGAAAACAAATGCTTTAACAATTTCGCGTTTTATACAAGAAACATTAGCAACTTTTTTTCTTCCGACAACTATTCCTTCTAATAAATTACTGCTTATTTTATCAGATGCTGCTCCTTATATGGTGAAAGCAGGACAAAATTTAAAAATATTTTTCCCAGATTTAATACATGTTACTTGTGTAGCGCATGGATTAAACAGAGTTGCAGAGGAAATACGAAAAAAGTTTCCTCTTGTAAATACCATGATATCCAGTGTCAAAAAAGTATTTCTTAAATCTCCTATAAGAATTCAACTTTATAAAGAAATGCTACCTAACATTCCTCTTCCACCACAACCTATTTTAACGCGATGGGGAACATGGTTAAAAGCAGCTAATTTTTATGCAGATCATTTTGTTAAAATAAAGAACATAATTGATACGTTAACAGATGAAAGTTCCCAATCTCTTTTGGATTCTAAACAAACTTTTCAGAGTAACTTGCTTCAACAAGAACTTTCATTTATAAAATCAAATTTTAGTTTTGTTCAAAAAACAATTACTCAGTTAGAATCACCAAAACTGTCATTGTTCGAAACTACAGCATTAATAAAAGAATTTGCGTCATGTTGTCGGAACGTTAGAGGTAATATTGGAAAAGATATTTTAAAAAAATTTGAAGCTACTATGGAAAAAAATAAAGGTTACCATATTCTTTCTGAAGTAGTCAGTGTTCTAGCTGGAAATATTTCGGAAACAATTAATTTAGAACCAAATGTTTTGGTTAGTTTGAAAAATGCTCCCGTTACATCAGTTGATGTTGAACGAAGTTTTTCCATATATAAATATATGTACTCAGACAGAAACCACAAGTTTTTGTTAGAAAATTTTGAACACCGCTTGGTCATTGATTGTTACCATAATTCTAAATAAGTTTATTCATACTTAAAAATGATGTAGTTACTTAAAATAAATGTAAATCTTAATGAATAGTAGGAAATATTTAGTTATGTACACTTTTTTTTTTAAATAAAATTGTTACTATTTTACGATTTTTTTATTTATTTGTATGCATATTTTGTAAAATATTTGCATATTTTCGGATAAACACGTGCATATTTATGCGCATATTTTCTACATTTTTATTTGCATATTTGCCGAAGTCTACTCATATCTGTTCTAATACATTTAGGGTTACCCAACACGTACACCAACTGTATTGAAAAATAATATATCATTAATATATTTAAAGTACGAGAAGTTGAGATTGGCTTAAAATATTTAAATGCGATATTCTCTCCTTTCTATAAAATAAACGACCGACCACCGCTGGTTCAAGAATCCGTACAGTATGTCACAATGATATTCACAAATTCCAAATTTACTCCTCCAATAACAATAATCTTCCCGCATATCGACAAAGCGTCATAACCATTTGTTTAGTTTTGCGTGCGAAACGAATACATTAAGAAGGTGAATTGGCCTTTTCAGGTGAGAAGGAAGATTTTTAAGGTCGTGAAACAGTTAGAAGTATTAGTCTGACGCAAATTTTAAAAATATATGTGCATATATAGTGGTTCCGTAAAAACAGTTTATACGAGAGGTTTCACAAAAGTTATAATTCGTCACGGCATTTAATTGTTGATTAACACAACCAAAAATTACAGATTTATATTTAGTTTTTATAAATGTTGAAGGACAACCTATCAAATAATCACATCGAATGTGTTTACTCTCTTAGTGTTTCTCTTTTTAACGGCACACTTCATTTTATAACCACGCTAACAAAGAAAACTTGAGTTCCAGGTAATTTTATAAAAATCTTTTACAATCTGACAAATCTGATAAAGGTAGGCTATTAGAAAAGTAACAAATTCTACCTGTTTTATAAACTATGCTATTAAGGAGGTCAGATATCTACCTAGACAGACAGAAAACAGCCCATCCGAGAAATTTGCCTCACTTAAAACTCGATTTTTAGTAAGGTAAAACTACCTGTTTCCTAAGTTGCAACAACAATAAGGCAAACTACTATAGAAAACCCAATCTTGGTATAGTTCGGTTACAGATAATTGAGAAATTTAAAGAGATAGACCAATTGATGTACAAGGGGTACCGAACTGAGCTTAGATTAAATGACATCTGTTTTAATAGTTCCTCTTTAATATTTTGCCTTGTTACAGGATAGTATTCAGAAAAGTGCAAAAATAATTACTGTAAAATATAATTTCATTAGGTACAATTATAATAAATATATTATTTATTTATTTATTCCACAACAAACACATTTTACAAAATAAAATGTAATTACAAGTAGGGATTTTGACATTAGATATACCTACAAGCTAAGATAAATTATATTTAAATAATTATAACTGTTGGGTCTATTTAATCAAAATAATGTTTTTACCTTTAATTACAATAATATTTTTATTTACGCTACTACTAAAAGTTGCCGATGTAAGCCCCTTTTTATACCTTTCAATAAAATTTATGAGTTTAAGACTTCTCTTACCGGATTGTCGGGTTCTTTTCACAGCCCTGCTGTGCTGATCAAGGTTTTTAAATTTCCACGAAATGCTGAACGACTGATAACAAGACTGATGTGGCTTTCGGTATTGTTATACATATAATTTTTAGTTTAAACTCTGTAAAGAAAGCACGCATTTATTAGTGACGATTTCGCGATTAGAAAAATATTAGTAAATAAAAATGTGGCGCCCATGGGAGAATAGTGCAGTAGAAATTGTTGGGAATAATGAAGTAGAAATTGTTAAAGAAAATGAGAAAATTCTACCACCAAATAATCCTGAAACTATTGCTGGACCAAGTAGAGGAAGTATTAAAAAGCCAGAAAAAAAAAACATTTATCGAAAGACGCTAAAGAAATTGTGTTAAATGTGTTTAATGGATTATGTGAAGAATTGGAACGGTACGAGAGTGTTGTAAAAACTGCGGCTTTAACAAAAGTTTCATGTGCTACTGTATATCGAATTTTACAGAGGCCATTACAAATAGACAAAAAAGGAGCGACTTTGGACTACATCGATCTATTGAGCAACATCTTTTAGGTCCCATTTCAGAAACCATTTATAATATGTTTGCAGGTAATATTATACCCACACTTAACCAAATTTTAGCTGAATTAAAATCTAAAAATATTATTAATTGCTGTAAATCAACTTTAAGAAAATGTTTACTATCAAATGGTTTTAAATATAAAACAATCAATAAACGACATACTATAATGAAAAGTGCTCGTTTAATAAAATGGCGTAATGAGTATTTGAAAAAAGATAACCGAGTACAGAAATAGCGGGAGAAAAATTTATTACTTAGTTGAAACGTGGTTTAACACTAACGAAACAACTATCAAATGTTGGAGTAATGACAATGTAAAGTGCAAAGTTAATGTACCAGCTTCCAGGGGCAAACGAATATGCATTTTACATTGTGGAGGGAAGACGGCTGGGTAACCGATGGCTTACTATTAAGTGCAAAAGACATTAAAGATAGTTGTTTGGACTATTATCAAGATATTACGGGTAAACTTTTCCAATCGTGATTTAAAAATAACTTATTACCAAATTTAGCAGACAACAGTGTTATTGTTTTAGATAATGCATACTGTCATTCTAGAAAACTTATATATTATTGATGATGAATATATTATTGATGATGTAGCAAGTAAAAATGGACATACAACTTTAAGACTACCACCATATTACTGCGTTTTAAATCCAATAGTGTTGTTATGGTCTCAACTGAAATATAATGTGAGACAAAAAAATGTAAGTCCGAAATGTTATAACACTGTCGTTGAAATGTTATAACAATTCAGAATTGATTCTGAATTTAAAAATATCTCTGAGGATAACTGGAAGAAAGCAATAGAGTACGTAAAAATATCGAAAAAGAATATGTTAAAAACATTCCTGTTCTAAATAAAATTATTATCAATGTGGAGAAAAGTGATCAGAGAAAGAAAGTGACGAAGTGTAATACCAGGACAACATTCTCTCAATACTGAGCTTACCCGGAATATTTTCTTACATAATCAGGCGTAGGGATTATCGACATATATTCAACACCAAACTACTGCTTCAATTTTTTAAGAAAAACATGGCCTTATTATGAAAACTTCACTTATTGTTGCAATATCTATATATTTTTATCTTTCACTACCAACCGTTCGCTAAATTTTTAATTAGTTTTTGTATACAAACCAATTATTCAAATCATGAATGTGTTTCTTGTGTGAGTCCATTTCAAATAGGTAAAGAAATAATAAATAAGACTTACTCACAATCAATTTAATTTAACTATCCAGAGAAATTTCTATCTGGATAGTTAAATTAAATTGATTGTGAGTAAGTCTTATTTATTATTTCTTTACCTAAACCAATTATTGTTTGAACATTTTATAAAAAATGCATTGCAGAAATATCATTAATGTAATTTAAACTTACACAAAATCATCAAGACATAAAATTAAGCTTTGTTTATAGCAATACAAATTTATAGAACCAATTTCTTATAAAATATACCATATTATGTTTCATGTGGGTCAGTACTATCCTGTTCTTCACCAGTCATACCGCTGCTTATCGCATCTTTCTCAAATAAATATAACGGCCTATATCTACAACAAGTAGGGAAGAAATACCAGAAAATCAGGATTTTATTTCACATTGAGGCAATGGAGTTTTTGGATCAACATACATGGTTTCAGTACAACAGAATTTCATTGATTTGTTTCAGTTTTAAATGGTTTTTCATTTTTTTTTACATTTACAAGTCCCTATATATTGGTTTGATACCCTAGCAATAGACGATATTGTAATACAAACAATTCGATGAAACGTGACTTCTAAACAATAGAGAAAAATCTATACTAATAGACAAAGAAGAAATAATTTATTGGTGGAGGCTATTTTCGGAAAAAATCGAAAACTGGTGAAATAAGGCACTAATACATGTTTTCTGGAAACATGGATTAATTAAAGACATTTGTAAGAAAAGTTATAGGCAAGTTAAATAGCTTGTAAGTGCTTTAAAACCTTCGTCTTACCACTCAGACTCCTATGCAAGTGTATTAGGAGCAAATCAAAAATAAAATTGCACAACGAATTGTTAATTTCAAGGTAAATGCTGCTAAAATGTTGGTTGAGCAGGTACTTCCCACAGTTACTGTAGACAATTGAAAGAAACTGTGTAAACATAGGTTCAAGAAAACTATTGACCAAATGCATGTGGATAGCAGAAACAATTTCCAAGAAAAATAAAAAAAAACAACGGCGTCTCCGAAAGTCTAGAGACACTCTGTATAAACACAGTTAACAAATACGTCAGCACTAAATTAGCAAGTTGCTTATCAAACGAGATCATTATCTTAAAGGTTAATGACTGAATTGTGCGAAAACATAAAATTAATTCTAGTACACATATATATACAATTGTGATAACATTAAAAATAATTGTAGGTTAATCTGCTGGTAAAATGTTTGTTATAGAAGAAAAACAACACTATTTACGTCCACACCAAGTGCACAAATTATAGAAAATATTGCCTACATATTTGTAAGAAAAGTTGAGCAAGAACAGGTTACAAATGATAGTAAGACGTTTACTGAAGGTTTGTCTACTATCTGAAGTGATAGTCGTCAAAAGGGAACAATCTAACCAATTCCTGAGCACAAGAAGTCCCCAGGTTAATAGAGAATTTAAAGAACAATAACCTAGAGTACAAAAATTTTATAACACTTGGACAGTTAAACAAAGATATCACAAAATTCATTCGAAAAGATGTCAGAAATTACAACACTGAATACATAACTCAAGACATTGATAAAAATAAAAGTTTAAAGGTTCTGACAAATGACTGAAGGATCAAAAAATATAAGATTTTTACTCAGAAATGTATAAGCGAGAAGAACTTCCAGATCCTGATCAAAATCAAATACCAAAAGTTCAAAATGTATCCCAGAAGACATCCCAGATATCACCACAGAGGAAATAAAATCAGCTCTCTCAGAGATAAAAAACAATAAATCCTCTGGAGAAGATGGAATAGTCATTGAACAAATTAAAGGAGGAGGAACGTTAGTAAATGTGTGGAAAAAGATGTTCAATACTTGTTTGACAAGAGGCGTAACCCCTCCCAGTGGCATAATGCAATAATAACCATAATGCACAAAAAAGGTGACATTTCACCTAAAGGTAACCTAAAGAACTACAGACCTATTAGTTTATTCTCACATACATACAAACTATTTATGAAGATAATAACAAAACGGAGCTGTAAACGACCAAGGGCAGTGGCGCAGAAGATATTATTTTGAATTGTATCAGCTCTTTGATGAGCCAGATGTCATAACGTTCATTAAAACACAGCGACTTAGATGGGCTGGACACATAATACAAATGCCTGAAAATACAATTGCTAAAAAGCTAACCACAGGAACACCTGTAGGAAAAAGAAGCAAAGGCCGACCGCGAATTAGGTGGTTAGATGGAGTAGAAACCGACTTACGAATATTAAAAATCAGAAGATGGCAACATGTTGCCAAAAACCGAACAGAATGGCGACGAATCTTAGAGCAGGCCAAGATCCACAGAGGATTGTCGAGCCAAAGATGATGATGAATAACAAAACGGCTTGTGAACAAACTGGATAGTTACCAACCTTGTGAACAGGCTGGGTTCCGCTCCAGATACGGAACAAATTATTATCTACAAGTTATAAAAACGCTAATAGAAAAGTGTACAGAGTATAACAAGCCTATCTTTCTTATATTCGTAGATTATGAAAAGACGTTCGATACTATAGATCATCATAAAATGCTTCGAACATTGGCTGACTGCCGCATTGACTACCGATATATCGCCTTGATTAAAAGTATTTACGAAACTGGCACAGCTTGTGTCCGCCTTCATAAAGATACCAAGAAGTTTCGAATAGAATGTGGAATTAGACAGGGTGATACCATTTCTCCTAAATTGTTTACAGCTGTTGTTGAATATATGTTCAAGCAAATGGAACGAGAGGATAATATAGGAATTAATATAAATGGGGAAGATTTGAACCACCTAAGATTTGCCGATGACATCGTTTTAATATCTGATAGAGTTAATAAAGCTACAAAAATGCTGCACACGCTCTATAAAGTGTCAAAAATTGATCTTAAAATTAACACAAAACACACTCAAAAACAAAATTTATGACCAACCTTGTAGTCAGCGGTAAAATTGTAATTGAGAGCCATAGCATCGACCAAGTAATAGCTTACAAATATCTAGGACATGAGATTCGCTTAGGACGAGATAATCAGACAACTGAAATACAAAGAAGGATAGGTCTCACATGGGCTGCCTTTGGTAGATTGAATAACATAACATAAGTATATTATCCCAGTTTGTTTAAAAAGAAAGATTTTTAACTAGTGCATTTTACCGGTTCTTACATATGGTGCAGAAACACTGACTCTGACAAAAAGAACAATAGATAAAATAAGAATTACACAACGCGCTATGGAAAGATCAATATTAGATATTACCATCATATATAAAGTCCCAAACCCAGAAATAAGAAGAAGAACAGGAGTCACAGATGCAGTTAAAAAAATAGCCATGGCTAAATGGACTTGGGCCGGACATGTTGCCAGATTAACGGATGATAGATGGACCAGAAAGATTGTGCAATGGCGACCAAGGCGTCGAAGCAGAGGAAGACCACCGACTAGATGGACGGATGATATCAAGCGCATCACCACAAACTGGATGCAAGAAGCTCAAGAGAGAAATAGGTGGAAAATTTTACGGGAGGCCTACGTTCAGCAGTGGACAAATATAGGCTAATCGATGAACCTAGAGTACGGAGGATGTTAAAGAAAAAAAATCAATACATACGGGCTTTAAGGTAAGAAAAATCAAAGAATATAATATCAACCATTGCGTTAGACAAATGGGATGATCACTTCTCTAACCTCTTGACGAAAAATAGGCCATTTCATCAAGAATCTGAGATTGTTTTAACCCAATTGTGTATGTATATATGTATGTATATTTAGAAAACAAAGGAACGAAGATGTTTGTAGGAACAATGAATCTTTGACACATCAATTATAGCAGAGACTTACAGTTATACAGAATTAGAAAAGACTTGTATAACATACTCGAATATTCGATACAAAATAATCCTGTTCTTCTTCTTATGTAGACATGACTCTGTTTTTCAATCTGTCTCCAGTAAGTTGTCATTGAAGTTGAACCGTCTCTTGTCGTCTTTACTCTATTTATTGTGTTTAAGCTGATATGATCGTTCCATTCTGCACTCCTTATCTAGTCCTTGATGTCCACCTTGCATCCTGTACTTCTAGCTCTGTCCCATAGTATTTTACCATCAATTTTCCAAGTGTTTTCATCTCTGCTGTTTCTAATATCCTTTTTGTCCTCTCTGCCAGGCCGTGATTCTGCCGCATATGTCATTATTAGCAGATAAACACACTAAACTTTATAATGGTCAAAACAAGAAAAGACACTCAGAACACTGGAGAACACTCAGGTTGGAAAAGGCAAAGATGAATATGCTAAGAATAGTACAGTATTAAGTAAGGATATTTGCGGCGATAATTCAAAATCAGAGAACTCATAATTTTGACCATTTTGGAATTAAATTACTGAATGACACACATCAGATAACGAAGCTAGGCTTCCGACCTAGGCAAGAAGTAGAGCATAGAAAAACTTTTGTCAAAGTAATTACTACTTCATTCATTCATGGAAACGATGGAAGGGAAATAATAATTAATTACAAACAAAAGAAAGTAAGGCATAAAAACATAAACCAAACAATACATTGATTACAAATTGTTAAAGTAACAGTTGAAATATACTTATGTATGAATTGACAATTCACGTTAAAAAATTTACAATTAATCAATGGTAATATTTTAGAAAGAAAGTGTCAACAGCTTCAAATATATTTTTAAGTTAGTAGAAGAAATGGTACAGTGCTTTTATGGTGCAATGACATGAAAGACAAAAGAGACAAAGTATTAGTCTCATCTCCTTATAATAAAAAATGCAAAGAAAAACAGCCCGCGAGAGGGAGAGAGATAACATGGCAAAAAATAGTTTTGAAATAAATGAAACAAGATTCACGTGGCAGATTAATAGTTCTACAAATAAATCACAAAATAGATGAAATTCGGGGCTTTAAGATCAGGATCAATGAACTTTTTTTTGGACCATCCATATGTGTGTCCATCCCAAATTTTTACTACACTTTCTTAAGGGCCGGTGAGGTTTTTGACCATAGTAATTTAGGTACGAGTGAAGAAAACAAACAAGCGGGAGTGACTAATATACTCAAGGTATCCAGATGTGAAACATAAATCTGGGTTTCACACTCTTTCCCAGTTCCTGAAGATGCTACCACTAGCGAAACGTTGAGATAGACCTACACATGAGCTGAAGAGTTAAATCAAAATTGATGCTAAGAATAGTGTACAAAGTTGTTAGAACAATACTGCGCTTTATATAAACGAACTAAGGTTCAAAATATTCCATGAGTAGTATAAAAAAAAAGATGAATATTACAAGCCAAAGCTCAAGGATTAAGATATCGTGAAAAGAACAATGGAAAAATAATGTGGAGATGAATAATGTGGCATATAATGAAACCACAAAGGCGAAGCAGATCTCTAGGTAACGCAAATTATGTGTATGTGTGAATTTAATAAACTTAAAACTCTCGACAAAAGTTTAGAAAAAATGTACCAATACGTCTCAAATCAGTAGTATTATACAAACAAAAGTTGTTTGAAACTGGATCAAAATTTACAAAAATTATCGAATTAATAACTTTTTCAATTATAGCACTTAAAATATGCTTTTTGTCAATAACTTATTAAATTTTGATGTAATATTTAGCAGTACTGTTGAACAGAGAATCGTTTCAAGGTTTGTTGAAACAATTAAAACAACATTAGTATGCATTGTTGGAAATGAATGCTAATTACTAGGGTCACTAGACGAAATAAAACAAGTTTATAATTTATCCTGTTTGTTGCAGTATCCACCTACGCCTCTGCACTACAATTCTATGGCTTAACTTACCAAACAACTCCGAAGGCTCCGTACCCAATGGGCCTATCCGGTTGGACCTGTTCCTGTGTATGGGCCGGTGCTGCGGCATGCTGTGGATGATAGTAGGGTTGGGCCCCATGCAGGCCTCCTTGTTGCCCTGCTCCGGTCGTAGGCCCGGCTGTACCTTGCATTAGGCTCATCGAGACAGACATTGACACCCTCGAGTGGCAGTTAGGAACCGCCACAGCCATCAAATATGTATTGACCCAGTGCGACAGTATATTTCACATTAACAGCATAATATAACTACCCTTTAGAGACTGTCGAATGCTGCTAAGATACCGAGAAAGTTCACTGTATGCAAAATTATCCTTAACACTGGCCTGTAACCTAATTGTTTCGCGTAATATTTTTATTGTTTCACGAATTTATCGCACACTACAAAGGAAAACGTAATCACAGTTCGAAACCCAAATGCACAGTTGTCAATAGCAGAAAAACTAAATAGAAACGAGAAGAGTTTAAGTAAATAAAAATAAAAATGGGTTTTTCTGAAGATTGATCACGAAACAAGCACTACCGCAGCTCGTTGCAGACTGACTTTTAAATGGCAACCGTGCGGTCACAGCGTCGCTTGCGCTTGTTCCCTTGTGTGGATTGCATTCTACGCATGCGTAGCAGTCTAATCAACAGCTGATTGTCTTTGGTTTTCCGCTTGCGCTTGTTCAAGGCGAGGACATTTATTTTAGGGAATAGATTATTATTTATTAATTCGTATTAAATGTATATACTGAGTGTAGCAAAAACAATTGCAACGTATATGACCATACAGTGATACAATACCAAACAAGTTTACATACATATACAGGGTATACAAACTGAAATATTTAATCCTCAAGTTAATACGAAATTTTAAACTTTTTTGATTTTTGGTGTCTAAACTCAAACAAATGGTGAAATCTTTTAAACTATAAGAGAAAAATAAAACTACAATATCTAACGTGTTAGGGATTAAGAGTATAAGTCACAAAAGTATATTTTCCAGTATCGCGCATGGACGAGTTTATTTACCGGTATGATTTTGTGCAACTTACCGCATCCCTATATTATTAAAAAGAGGCAAATAAAGTATAAAAAGATGAAAAAAAAATGTTAATCTTTAATATTCAAATTACCTGACTTATCATATTAGATTTACTCTGTTAACTGACTTGTACCATTAGGACCCGCTCTTGTACTCAGTCCAAACTTTTTCTAGTAGATTAATATCAAAATGCTAGTTGTAAGGTTCCCTCAAAACAATGCGAATTATTCGAACCTGTTGCGAAAAATCGCACCGCATGCGATTCGCATCAAATTATTTCAACTATGCTAATGGGTGTAGAGCTAGTTCGCGTCCGTAGTAGAATACTACACGTGCACCCTGGGTAATGCTAAATGAACTAGCACATACTGGCAGTCAGACAATCCTTAGGATCTCCTGACCGCACAACACTTCCAACGAAAAATGATAAACAAAATAAACGGCCCTTGTGAGGACCGCACAACTAGACCAATCGGACCTATAGTTCGAATTTGCCACATAAACATAGAAGGCATAACCTATGCAAAAAGCCAGTTTTTATCAAAACTATTAAAAGATGACAACATTGACAACTACAGCCTCACCCTGCTGTATATGTTGGAGATTACAATAGCCATCATGAACAGTGGAAGTACAAAAATAGTGATGCAAATGGGAATGCTTTAATAAAATGGGCAGAAGACGAACGCCTATACCTTTTGTTTGATGCCAAAGATCGACCAACTTTCAGATCTGCGGCATGGAGGCGGGAATACAACCCCGACCTATGCTTCGTCTCGACCGACAACAAAGACTTACCTTTAGGGGCTTCACGAAGAGTTCTAACTGATTTCCCACACAGCCAACATCGACCAGTAATAATAGAAATAGGGACGAAAATCCCTTTAATTAGTTCTACCCCACGTCCAAGATGGAATTTTAAAAAGGCCAACTGGACTGACTTCTCTGTGGATCTAGATAAATGTCTAGGATGGATTACACCGAATATCAAAAACTACCACAGATTTGTTGGTGCCGTGCTAAGTGTAGCCAAAAAAACACATACCGAGAGGATATCGCAAAGAATATGTTCCTGGCTGGTCGGAAAATAGCAAGGAATTATATCAGAGCTTTCTTGAAACTGGCGACCAAGAAATAGCGGATGAACTACTGTACAGCCTAGACGCCGCTAGAAGACAAAAGTGGACCGAAACAGTAGAAAGTCTAAACTTCCAGAAATCAAGCAGACAGGCATGGTCATTACTAAGAAAATTAGGGAGTGGTGTCCGTACGAAACGTCAAGAGGCAGCCGTAAAGCCAGATGCCATAGTATCACATATAGTAAAAACTTCCAGAGCACCAAAGGATAAAGCACACACCATCTACGTAAAGAGAGAATTTAAAACTTTAAAACATGTAGCCACAGAAACGGAGCATTCCCTCCCCTTCACCAGCGAAGACATATCAGAGGCTCTAAAAGATGTTAAGCCAGCAAAAGCACCAGGATTTGATAATATTCACCCTGAATTCCTACTAAATTGTGGCAAGTATACAAAAGTTTGGTTGGCTCGATTTTTCACAGACATCATGGAAACTGGAAATATCCCACAAGAACTAAAGCGCTAAGATAATAGCCATACCAAAGCCAGGCAAACCCGCTGACAACCCAAAAAACTACAGACCAATTGCGCTTCTCTCTGCTATCTACAAACTATTAGAGAGGTTTATATATAATAGAATCAGTACAGAACTGTTCCAGGTGATCCCAGTCGAACAAGCGGGTTTTCGACCAGAACGAAGCTGCGCGGACCAGGTCATGTCACTCACCACCTATATCGAAGCGGGTTTCCAAAGAAGACTTAAAACTTCAGCGGCATTTATTGATCTCTCGGCAGCTTACGATACAGTATGGAGAGAGGGCCTTATATACAAAATTCTCCGTGCAATTCCCTGTAAACAAATAGCACGTTTAATAGATAGCATGCTCAACGACCGAATGTTTCAAGTAGTGATGGGCACAGATATCAGCCCACCAAAGAAACTTAAGAATGGCCTACCACAGGGGTCAGTGCTCTCTCCATTACTATTTAGCTTATATTTAGCAGATATCCCAGAAACACAATCAAGAAAGTTCGGATAAGCCGATGACTGGGCCCTCACTACACGATGCAGAACACTAGAAACATCTGAAGAAGTTCTGACGGCAGACTTATATATATATTGAGCAAATATTTTCGCAAGTGGCGGCTTCAACCAAATGCATCCAAAACAGAAGTAAGTTGCTTTCACCTGAACAATAAACTTCCTGGAAAGGAACTCAACATACGCTTTGAAAATACCACACTTTCTCAGAACAAAACACCGAAGTTCCTGGGCGTAACACTAGACAGAACGCTATCATTTAAAGAGCATTTAACAAAAATTGCCCAAAAGTTGAGTACAAGAAATAACATTATACAGAAGCTCTGCGGTACCACCTGGGGAGCATCGGCTTCCACTCTCCGCTCTACTGCTTTAGCCCTTATTTTCTCGACCGCTGAATATTGTGCCGCAGTTTGGCTACACAGTCCACACGTAAAAAAGGTCGACACTCAGCTGCACAGCACTATGAGGATGATAGCTGGTACAATTAAATCAACTCCCACCCAATGGCTTCCAGTATTAAGTCACATTCCACCTCCACATTTACGACGAGTTGATGCACTTACACGTGAATACAAAAAGATCATGAACAATATAAACCTGCCGATCCACCAAGATACCGAGGATGCACGAAATACCCGTCTACGTTCTAGAAAACCACCAATGAAAACGGCAAGAATGATACATGAGGAGTTCAACATCACGAATGCATGGTCCCAAGAATGGAATGCATGGTAAAATAACATGGCCTGTATTACCCACAAGCCACCAGGTTTTGATCTTCCACGTAAAACATGGTCCACTCTAAACAGGATCCGAACCAGACATGGCAGATGTGCATACATGCTACCTAAATGGGGAAAGAATCCGTCTCCCCAATGTGACTGTGGGAAGGACCAAACGATCGACCAGATTATTGAAGAGTGTCCCTCAAGATCCTATAACGGTAGCCCTGAAGACTTCCTGTTTGCAACTTCAGAGTCAATTGATTATGTTAATACACTTGATGTTTGTTTGTAATTATTTAAAGTTTGTCATATACCTATATTACTAGTGTTTGTAATTTTGTTCTAAATGTGTTGTAATTGCCATACGATAAATAAATAACTATGCTAAATTGACAAGTTCAGACTCGCGCGAATTTTACTGTTGTAAGAGCGATTTGTCTGCGTAAATATTCGTCCGAAATTTTAGTTCGCCATTGACTACGTTTTTGTCCGGATTCGTAGTGCGGTAATAATTTATTATGGAGAAATTGAATTAATTAGTTCGACAATATCCCATTTTATATGACCTTTCCCATGAAGATTACAAGAATGTTCGAAAAAAGGATAAGGTTTGGAGTAAAATAGGAGAAGAAATAGGCGAAAATGGTATGTATGTATATTGAATTTTATGACATTTAGTAAAATATAAAAATTTTAATTCATAGTCCTGAATTAAAAAAAGTTGCAAATCTGTCTCGGACCGAGAATTCGTCTCGTAGCTCTCCTTGGGCCATTATCAAAATCTAGAAACGCTCTAATTTCAGGTTCTGATGGCTCTAAAAGTTCGATAAACCCATCATCACATTTTTTTGTTCTTAGGAAATTATGTAAGATACCTGAAGTTTTCGCAATTTTAAGAGTAGTGTCAACTTTTGTTGTTTCGATTGGTCTGTAGAATATACGCTATTTTTGTGCTAACATACCGAAAGCATTTTCTACAACTCTTCTCGCTCTACAGAGCCGTACATTATAATTTTCCTTAAAAATATCTGTTTTACTTTGGCTGTGTGGAAAGGGCCTCAACAAATATGATTTTAGAGCAAATGCTTCATCTCCGATTATGACATGAGGAGAAGGTTCATCTTGTCCAGGAAGATTTTTTGACTCAGGAACATTCATTGAATTTGTTTCAAATCTTCTTCCCATGTTGGAAACTTCGAAAATTCCACCATCATTATTTTTACCAAAACCACCAATATCAATCATAATAAATTTATAA